GATGAGCTTTGACACGCAATTTTGATGTAAACCAATAGCTGATTTGTGCGTCTCTGTGTGTCTCTCTCACATTCTCTCAAGTCCAATATCTTGAACTCTGATAATAATTTTACCAACTCTTCCGCATGACTATCAGAAATCTCTCTATTGTATTTAATTGAATGATACAAATTCGAGATTTGGACATTTTGAATTAATGGCCAGGTAATAAATCGAGCCTTTGGCTTAGAGAATAAAAGAAATTTTCGCTTTTTAATATACATGTAATTATATTTATATATAAATTAAATTCTTGGATCGGTGTTTACTTTGTAAATAAACAATTTAATAGGCTTTATGATATTGCAAATTTCCTGCAATTGATTGATACAATTTACAACATAAATATCAATATATTCTTTTACATTGTCAACATTTTAAGTACATTATTCAGATAATATTTAAATATAATGATCAGTTAACAATTAGACTTGTGGATCAATTGTAATATTTGAAGATGATTGTTTAGCTGAGCTATAAGATGATCTCGTTCTCATTGTTTCTTGGTTAATGATAAATTCATTAGTTAGGTAAGTGTTTTGTCTGATCCTTTGATTAAGTTTCTTAGGAACATCCGGAATAATCCATTCGAGGAAAGAATTAAAAATCCAAATTATATTAATGAAAGTGACAACAAACACCAATCGATAAACGAGAACTTCCCAAAAGGCTTGTCTTGGTAGATATTGATGATTTCTGCCCGGTGGATACCGGAGACCAGAATAAGCGCACATGGTTGATGAATTGAGGGAAAGGCCGAACTCATTGATGAAATTGGTCAGATTCTGCGGTAAATATTTTGTCTCATAATACGAAAGTGACCAGGGTATGTAACCTTCAAGTGAACCAGTTTTCATGTGATAATAAACTTTGGGTATTAAACTTGAAGTGAATGCAATGATCAAAGCATTGGTTAGAACGGAAAGTTTACCCAATGCCGTTATAATGTGAGACCAAACACCGATATCTTTAATACGAATTGCAATCGGACGTCTATAGTGACACAAAAATTTTCTTGCATCCAAATGAATTTCCAATGCATTATTGATCAATGCAAACAACGGAGCCAAAGGGAAGGCGACGACAAATAGAGTGACCATTCCGAATTGAATGACCATTTCTAAGTATTCATAAAATAAGGCTGTTGATTCCCAACCCTTCAAAGCGAAATCTGCTTCCCATTGAGGTAAACGAAGTAAATCTTTAGCACTAAAGTTTAAAAGTTTTCTGTTTGAAAAATAAAGAATTAAGGTAATTATGGTTAATCGATTTGAAATCTACTGATACAGTATTAGTTTAATTCTGTCTGGTACTTACTGAGCTTCTTTTCTCGAACCAAGGTTGAATCATCTCAAGAATGGCAAATATTGCTTGTTTTCCAATCATTATGATTGCTAGTTGAATGGTCAGTTCGACGAAACATCCACCAAGGCCACATTGCTCTTTGTTCAACAGACCAGGTTTAAACATATCACCGGGATTACGAACTGATCGACCTTTAACAAATGCGATATAAAATAATGAAGAATAATAATTGATAAATTGTAGAATGTATAATTTGAGTGTTAGACTGTTATCGAAATCGTTTTGAGTTCGAGGCAATTCCATTTCAGTTAACTTGTAGGCTACTTTTTCATGGATCCAATTGAAGATTATTATGAGAATAACGTTTATGAAAGATGCTGTGGTTGCACTAATTAAAGATGAGTATCGACCAATTGAGGGTCAAGATCTTCTGAAAGGGCAGTTTTAACGGAAACGCGATAAAAATTATACCAAAACAACGGCAATGAGTATAGAGATGAAGAAGAGAACCAAAGAACCCGATAAAACAAGGTAGGGGAATCGTTTCTTCCAGAAAGGTACATAAGGTTCGTACATTCGAGTAATATAATTGAGTTGTTTTTTCTTTTGTTGGTCCAATTTGGCAAGATACTCTGGTCGAGGGACCTCATCATAATAGTCTAAAGATGAGATATCCCACTGGTAGGTTATGGTAACTGAGTATCGCTTCCAGAATTCAGTGAAAATTGCCGACCAAATGGACATGAAAACGGCAAATAAAATAGTGGATGGATTATCGAAAAGGTAAGAGAAAAAGGTGTCAATACAAGAGGACGATAATAGCCAATAATCACAATCATGGTCTGAACAAAGTGGACACATGGCTACATCATCATACGATTTGGTGCAAATTTCAAGAGACACTGTATCCGAAGGGTAAGTAGCGATACTGTACATGAAACAACCAAGGCCAACAATCGAGGCGGGAATCAACATAATCGTATAAAAACCTAACCAAGCGAAATACATTGCTATTTTAGCTCCCATATAGTGACATATTTCGTCGAGAGGTTGAGGGTCAAAAAAGTGCCAAAACGAGGCCCATTTAGAGTATAATTCCATTCGAGGAGTATCTTTATGGTCCATAGTTAATTTACCCTCGTGAAGAGGGTAAGCAGCTTGATAAGCACCATCTTCCATCATTTTATCGATCCCAAGGCACGAAGCGTCCGCTCGACCTTCATCGAAACTTGTCCGTTTGAGAATATAATCAACGATTCGTGATCTTTGGGCTGGTGAAAAAAAGTTTTCTCTACCATCACTTTGAATATCGAACATGTATTCTTTGTCACGTCTCCAAGTTGCAGTAAATTTCTCTTTCCTCAACTTTGGTCTCTTTATTGTAGTGACTGGCGGTGCGATGCTCGATGTCATGGACGGAGATGTTCTCAGTGATTCGTCCATGAATTTTGTCTTCCAAGATTCAATCGGTTTCACTTTCATTTTAAAGTGTAAGATCTCCGCGTATCGAGAAAGAACTTCCCATGGAGCATGAATCTTGGTAAATCGTAGGAATGAATTCCCTCTGTGACCCGAACATGATTCCAAATGTAACCCTTCTTGAATTAAATTATTCTCAAAGATTTCACGACATTTGTCAAATTTTTCACGAAATAATTGAGTAGCTTTGTTAACTATTATAAAATCAATTCGACGCTCTCCATCTTCAAAGAAAATTGTATCTTGATTGAGAGAAATTTTTGATTTATTCTCATCATTTTCATCATCTCCTTCCCTATTAACATGATTATTATCATAACCTCTCGGTTTATCAGGAACATTGTTCGAAGGCATCTCTTCAATGGCACCAGGAAGAGGAGGTTCAGTGGCAAGTAAAGATGAGGTCGACGATGGATGGACAATAGAACTTGAGACAATTTGTACACTAAAACCAGAATTTGTTAGATTAGATCCTTCCTCCAATTCGTGAGACTCTGATTCCTCTGAGTTGTCATTCATTATGGTCAACAAACAGATTTATAATTTAATTAGATTTAGGGAAGTGATGAACATATAAAAAAAACTCCATTGAAATAACACCAAGTTCCAAGGATTAGTTAATAAGAGTTTCTAATAATAAAAGAAGATAAAAAATCAATGTTAGTAAATTATTCAGATAAATTTTTGACTTTTCTTCTCCATGAAGGATTGATTTTCTTTTCTCATGATCATAAACCGGTTCCAATGATCATGTGGTGATTCATGGTAATTATTCAGTCTTAAAGTCATTCAATTCAATTCAAGTCTGAAATTCAGCTTTTTCACAAGTTACATGAATTTGTCATCTTGTTTACTATCATCTTTATCCTTGATTAGAGTAAATGATTTAAAAGTAAATGGATAATCAATAAATCTTGATTTCTAGTGAATCTCAAGCCAGCAAAAGATAATCAATATTAACATGATCATTTCTTTTATGACGAAAAATCTAATAACTTGAAATATTAATGTATCTCAATTAGAAATATTAATTTAAAGATGAGTAATTGATTAATCAAGTAAATTGAACAGAGAAAAAGTTATAATAATCAATCATAATTCAAATCGTAATGATTCAAATTACATGTTCTTGAAAAGAGACAATCAATAGACAACAAAAGGATCATCGATACACTGAATTGATTAACTCTATTTGTCCATCAATCTATCTAAAGCATAAACAAACACAGGATATGATTGAATAGATGATAAAATTAATCATCATTAATAGAATACAGATTAAGAAAAAGCCAAAAAAATCCCACCTTTAAACTCTCAGCTGATTGTTACTCTATCCCCCATTAAGTACATTATCCAAAATGCAAGCGAACTGATTGAGAGACTGATAGATTAACCAATAAGGAAAACCAGTGGTTAAATTAGAAGACTAATTAAAGTCTAATTACTTAATTGAATGTAAACTTACCATTTACAATTTAGATTAGCAAAAATTAACTCAACCAATTGGTCAGATGAATTCATCTTGTTTACATGGGTCACCGAGAGGAATAGTAAAAGAAAATCTTTCCATCCATTTAAACCATTACACTGTTGATGATTAGAATTGTTGATGTTGTAAGATGATGGAGATTAAGATGATGATGATGAAAATGAGAACAAATCAAAGATAACAAAAGACAGAGAAAAACAAAGAGAATAAAAAAATAGACAGAGATAAACAAAGATAAAGGTTAATCTAAATTCAACAATATGGTTGGATTATGTTGACTGTTTGCCAAAGGGAAACAAAGTGTTACAAAAAAAAACGATGAGTTGACTAAACAATTAACCATAATTACCACCGAAACAATTGGACACTGAGATTAAAGGGGAAAAATAATCAACATGTTAACCAGAAGGAGAAGAAGAAGATTATCAAAATTGGATAATCCAAATTGGAAAAGGAAAACATGAAAGTCTCAAAAAGCTGTTCAGGTAAAGAGATGAAGTGAAAACAAGTTAACCAAATGTAGACGGAAACAGTTATCACGTTACCAGCGCTTCTGTTGGTAGAAGTTGAAACTTTTTCGGGTTTCGAGAAGAGAAAAGAGTTTAATTAATGTTAATTAACTGATCTAAATTTTCCATTAGATTAAATGGTTCATGTTCTCATTGAAGGATATATCACATTTCAATTGGTTTCTATTGGTGAGATTTATTTGGATTAATAGGAAATCCATTTTTCAATAGAAACAAATTGAATCGTTTTTGTTTTGTCTTATCCTGTTTTCCATTCAATTTAATTGCTATTAGTTTAATGTACTTGAGGTTTGATTGTTAGTGAGGAGCAATTAAAGATTCTATTTTAAAAAAAAATGATTATATGGTTAATTCAATCAATTGTTATTTGAAACACTTTAACAATTAAGGGTAAATCAATTGATACAGTTAGAAATCATTAGGAAAACAAAAGTTGGTAGATTACAGTTATTGATTAGCGATTAAATTGTTGGTCGATTGAGAATTGATTAACATGTAAAGACAATCAACTTGTTGATTGATTTTTTCTTCTTCTCCTTTTCAATGTCAATCTATCGATTTAGAGATTTAATAAATTAAATTGTCGATTGTATTGGTTTATCATGATTACTATTTATTTCCAGTTTCTATTGATTACAAAGTCTTAAATAGCTCACTAATCATGATGAACACTTTGGCGAAATCTTTGGTGTTTGAGGTTCGATTTTTTTCACATAGACCATATTTATAGATTGTTAGTACTTCGAACTTGATCTAATCGTCAATAATAGGACAAAATACGAACTATATCTCGATTAACTTCAACGCCAAGTTCCAATGAAAAGATGAAGTCTAAATGGTCAAAATCCAATCTATTGATTACTTTCCATTCTTTTGGCTTGACTGTTTCAAAGAAAATAGAAAATTAATTTAACCGTAAGGTGTGACAGTTAATCAGAATTTCAATCATTGTTGATTTCGTATTAAGTACCTTTCAGTTTATCCACCAATTTCACCACATTATTTGGAGTTACGAGTTTATCTCCTTTCGAATTGAATATGTAAATGTCCTTTGATCTAATCTTTTCCAATGGATAATCTGGTGGACTAGATTGATTATACCGGAGATAATTTTCCTTTTCACCATAATCAAGTTTATGAAATCGACCACTTAGTCCAATTTGAAAGTAATGAATATAATCAAGACATGGTGACCCAGCGGGAAAGTGAGTCAAATAGATTCCCATACGAGTTAGATTTGTATGATCACCAAGTAAAAAGGATAAATAATGTTGACCAATTGAACAGAATGGATTAAACTCTGAATTGTGGCATAATTGATACATTTTCTTTGGAAACCCTCGACCAAAACACTCGACTGGGCTCTTGCGTGCCAAATATCGTAATAAACTGTTCACATTTACAAGAATCGCTTTAAACAAATTAACTGACCAACGACCAACGAAAACCGCTGGAGCCATTGCGATGAACGGTTTAACTTTTTCCGTGTATTCAAGTCTCTCTGATAAAAGAGCAAACATGACAGCACATCCTCGAGACAATCCAATATATCCAACAGTCTCTATTATCAAAAGAAACGATAGATTAATTGTAAGTTTCCTTAATTGCAACATAAAAGTTTCTCAATCACAATTAACGAAAATGAGCGGAAAAAAGTGCTGCCATCTTGTGTTGAGGGGAGAAAAATTTTCTTCAAACTATTTAACTATTCCAATAGATGGCACTTACAACGAGGAATTGGAAAATGAATTAATCAAACAATCAAGTACAATTAGCATTTGATTCAATTGTTTCCACAAATTATTATGTAAACAATTTACTTACTTCTTTTAGTGGAATTCAAAATATAATCAATTGTAGTTGGTAAATCGATCGTGGCCATTTCATCAAGACCTGTTGTCCAAAACTCTGGAGACAAAACAATAATTAAGCTTAATTAGACCAACTAATTGTTATGATGAATTTTGGATAGTCTTTGGTACCTGTTGAATCAGGATCTAAAGTTGTATGATTCCGAGAGTAATAATTAGCTCGAAAATTAGTTAACCAAACATCATAACCAAGATTTGCGAGTAGAAAACCTAAATTGCGACCAGTACCATTGTAATAGTTAATTAACTGGTCAACATTTGGATTATTTAACAAAGATTCATCAACTTGACCATCAGGTGAACTGAAAATATAATCATCAGATGAGCCACCTAATCCACTTTGAAGTATAATAGGCTTGTAATTATTTACCAATCGATTTGGTGGTTTTCTTAATTGCTGTTGTTTAACAATTAACGGGTTAACAATCCTAAACATGGTTAGTATATAACCATCACTTGTAACAATCTTGTGAATTTCACAATTAAATCCTCGAGATTTAATTATCTCTGGACTGTCACCATAATCATCTAATGACTGGGAAAATTTAACTGTAACAATTAAATAGATTAAAATGAAATCAAGTGAAAAAAATGGTTTGATTATCCAAAAAATGTCCATTAAGAGAGTTAATTGTAAACAATCAAAAAAAAATTTGAACAAAATTAAAACTCAATTTTGCCGATTAAGTTGATTAAAACATCAATTGAAAACAATCATAACAATTAAACGAAAGTTAATAGTTTGATTTGATTCTTAATTTGAAAATAATTTATTAATAGTTGAGAAATTTTTTTTCTATTAATATTTGAGGTTAGGTTTTCTTTGAAACAATTAAATATTACTAACTATTAATAAATAATATTTTATAAATTAAACTAAATCAACCGTGATTAGGCCTAGTCAACTGTTAATTACCAGTTGATTTAATTTCCTCTGGTAATTAATGGCTTGTAACAATTACTTTTCAAATTTCAATTAAAGATACATTGACTTTTAGCAAAGGTAAATTTAAATCCAACGAAATTGACATTATGTCCTACGAATGTTTAATTTTTACGATAATTGTGATTTAATTGTGCTCATGATTAAAATTGTAATTATATTTTAACCTTGATCAGTACAATTAATTTCTATCTATTCTGCAAATGGAAGCATATTTTACCCTTTCTGTTAACAATTAGCGAACTAGTTTAGTGATTGAATGTCAAAAGGTAAATATTAGATTGATCGAAATGTTTTTCAACAACAATTTACTAATTGTTGTTTTTGATAATTAAAGGCCACACTGTGAGCTATGGATAAGCTATGAGAAAGAAACAATTAGATGTCAATCTAAATTAGACGAAGACAAAGGATAAAATTTGATTGGGAGATGACAATGTAATTATTGAAACAGTCAATTGAACAGGTGAGATTAAAATGATTTACTAATTGTAACACCAAATGAATCAAACTTTGATTGAATTTTCTAGTATAAAAGGAGACTGATTTACATTCAATTCTCATCAGATTAATTGTCTTTAATCAGAAAATATAAAAAAAATCAAAATGAAATTCTTTGGACTTACTCTTGCCGTTCTCCTCGTCGCTGGATGTAAGTATTAGACTATTAATCTATTCCAATTGTGTGAACAATTAGTTGATTATTCTAATAATTATTTTCTTGTTTCTCTTGTTTAGTCGTCGCTATCGAAGCTCGATCCGTTGAAAAGCGAAATGTCTTAAACGACTTAGTGGCTAACGCTCAATCAGCCTTCAACGATGCCAAGGCTCAATTTGGAAAATTCTTCGGCTCAGCTCTTCAACAACAAATCGCCGAAGCTAAAGAATCTTTCATGAATGGACTTAAGCAACTCCAAGAATCTGCTGAAGATCTTCTCGAAGATGGAGCTGATGCTCTCATGAAGAACCTTCCTGGTCTCCAAGGAATCGTCTCTGATCGAGTTGACGCCGTCACTGATTCTTTGGAATCATACATCGAAAAGAACAAGGGTAAATTAGACGAAGTTCGACAATTGATCCTCGACAATGCTCTCAAGACCTTGAAGGCTCTTAAGGATCGACTTGATGCCACTGAATCAGCTGAAGCCGTTAGCCAAATTCTCACCTCAGTTGACAACGTTGAGAACCAAGTTGTTAGTGAAGTTTCAGCAGCCAAGTCTCGATCTCTTTTCGGAATCAACTGGTCCGGTCTTAAGAACACCATCACTGAACGATTTGATGCCCTTCGAAACCGATTCGATGACATGTTAGACGCATTCCGAGGAGAAGATAACAAAAAGATCCGAGAACAAAAGGGCAAAATCCAAGGAGCCATGGAAAAGGTTAACGGTGCTGACAAACTTCCACCCGCACAAAAGATCGAAGCCGTCAAAGCCGCTACCGCTGAATTAGACAAGGCTGACGAAGTTGCCGCTTCAGCTGCCTCATCAGGAGAAATCGTAACCTCCCCCTCCGCCTAAATAACTTATAATCTTGTTAATATTTCGTTGATGTTCATATGTAAAAGTGTGCACATTGTGTGTACATCATAGGATTTGATCAATTGATCAGTTTCAGTTTCTAAATGAGTTGAACTTTTATGGTGATAAACAAATAAAGTTTATTTTGAGCAATAATCTTAATCTTGTCTCATGGATTCACAATTAATACACTAATTTTGTAATCTTTATCATCAACGATTTATAATCGTTAAGATAATAAAAGGTGAATGTTATGGTTATGTTCACATGATTAATCAAAAATAGAAAATAACTTTTTTTTGAGAAAATTCCATATTCAGCAATCAAGAATAGAATAACTAGATAAATCATCAATCCACAACCAAGTTAACTGTTGAAATGGTCGTCAACGATGCTACTTTTTCGCAATATTGAACCAATTAAGCAGTGATGTTTTTTGCTCATATTCCCTGAAGGAAAATTGTTGTACACTTATAGATTGTGCAACGATTCTTCACCAATAAGAGCTGAAAGACTGTATGAGTTTTGGTAGAAACAGTTCTTCATGAAAATGAGTCCATAGTGCGAGTCCATGTATCTACTTTAGGCTATTCAATTGGTCCTTTTTCGCAATTGTCATAGATTTCATATAATCTACGAGATTTGCGATAATATTCAGACAAACAATCAGGTGATCTCGAAGTTACTTTTTTAGACTTTCACTTTTCATAAAGATTTCGGTTTCATTTAATTTCTTATTCTGTATTCTATTAACGATGAATTTTTATATAAGATTTTAGATGGTTGGAGGTGGGCTTAAGTTATGAGAATCAATAAGGGACTTTATTCTAAGTGAACGAACTAAACCTAACCGAAATGGTCTACTCCGTTTTATTATCTACTCAATCATATTCTATGTTTGTTATTCTCTTCTTTATTTCTATGCTATTATTTTGAGACAATCAGCCATTGAGCAATTACTTCATTACTTTGATGATGAAGAGTCGCATGGATATTATGGGCAAAACAACTCATTTGCTGCTTGGAATTTTCGAGAAGGATACTCAGATCCAGTTAAAATGCTCCTTTTGTCATATTCAAAAGAAGCGCTTGTGGACCGTGGTAAAAGACAAAAAGACGAAAAGAAGCAAAAAAGAGTGAAAAAGGGCCAAAATTCTCCACCGTCAAGTAGAATTGAAGTGAAAGAGCCTCAGGACATTTTATTCTGAACTTTTGACGAAATATTGACAATAATAACATTTAATCAAAACAATAATCACCAAAATCTCAAAATAATTCAATTTTTCTGATTTTTGATGCGCGAAGTTTGAACGTCAATTTATGAATACTTTTTTATTCAATTTCAACTAAAAATCTAATTTTTTATCGATAATTTGACCACATATACTGACCTGAGTTCATCTTCAAATCGTAAAAATTTAATATAAGTAAAAAGAATTGAATTTAAAAAGTGTTTTCGTCTTTTAGCTCTTCTTTTGCTTCTTTTTGCCTTTTACTACGGTCCAGCGCTTGTTCTTAGTAGTTCATCAGCTGTTTTTTCAGGAATATTTCTCATTTCAAATTAAATTTGTGCTTCTTCATTTCTTCAAGTCTTTAAATGACTAAAAAGTAAATTACTATCATGTCATTAAACGATTTACCTGATAATTGTCTTTGGAAAATCTTAGAAAATTTCCATGGAGTTAAACAATTGATTCGTTTGTCTAAAGGTGAGATAAAAATTCAGTTTAGATGATGAAATTTGAATGTTTATTTACTTTCACTCAGTTTGTTCGCGATGGTCCGATTTGATTGCGCCGAAATTTAATCGAGTAAAATATCTCCAAGTGATGAAGTGTAAGTTAATATCTACTTAACCCATTAACGATTATAATTAATTTATTTTCAATTTTTTAATCCAAAGATGGAAAACGTGATTATATCGACAAGAACATTTTCTGGATGAATTATGAAACAAATTGGAGACGTTACAATTTAATGGAATTGTTTCCAAATCTAACAAACTTTTTAGATCAAAATGACGTTGATTTCTAATTACATTTTAATTTTATGGTAGATTATAGAAGTTTCATCTTATAATTTTTATCTCTTTGGTAATTTATCTAAAATTCTCAAAAATAATCCACAAATAAAAGGATTGATTAGCGATCTCGATTTGGAAAGAGTTGGTTACTTGGAAAATATCGAAATGTGCGCTGCAGTGTTTCAGAACCAATTCAATTATAAATATGTTTTTCGCCCTGACCTGTTGAAACAAATTCGCTGCTACTGTTTTGATATGATTGATCTTCCTTCATTCATTGAATATTTTCCGAATTTGAAGCGACTTAACATACAACTCGCTGAAAGTGAGCTTCAACTTGAATTAGTCTTACGACTGAATTAATGGTTTATATCGTTTTACTGTTTATAATAGCGGACGGAGTTTTTTACAATGGACCAAATTTGTCTTCGTTAAAGATTCTTGAACTTGGTACATACGATTTCGTTGAACAATTCACCGGATTTCATTTTATGGATTTTTGTCCCTCTTTGGAAAGCGCTTTCATCTTATATTGGGCAGAGGTTATTCATGTAGATGAATCGATAAAGAATTACAATCTGAGAGATTTGGTTATCGAAAGTCGTGTAAGTCAATGGGTGTAAGTCAATACTTATTAGATTATTAACTATTTTTTCTTCTATTCATTCGATTAAGTCTGGTTGTTTTTCGTGGCCATCACTTCGAAGACTTTTGTCCAAATTTCCTAATTTACATCATCTTGGGATGAGATATGTTGATGCGATTAATGATAATGACTTAGAAGAATTGATAAAATTATTACCTGAGTTGAAGATATTGGACTTACGGAAATGTGAGAACGTGACGAATAAATCAGCTGATTTTCTGTCCAAATATTATGTCAAAGAGAAGAAATCAATCAAAATCTATTACGATTGTAAAAATGAACCCGCCGAATGGCCTAAGTTGTACACTCCTCAAGAATCAATTGTCTACGGATTTGACTTCATGAAACATTGTTTTTATAAATCTATTTTATCTCTTCCAGTTCTCATTGATGAATAAAATCGAAACTTTTATAACACAAAGTTTAATATCACTTATGGTTACATATTGGTCCTTATTGATTTATCAAAATCACTCGATAACGAAACAGGTCAGCTGATTACCCATTCTCTTCAACAACCGACTGATCTGAATCAATCAAAAAGCCAAAGCCACGAATAAAAAAAATCCGTAATCAAGCTTGATCTCGGTTAGTCTTCGATCTGATGATTTAACAAGAATTGTCAACAACTTTCCGAGAATAAGGAATTGATTGGATTTCTTGCATGTGTTGGAGAAAATTATAACAAGGAAATATCGAAATGTGCACTTTAGAGTTATGTTTCGATAAAAAAGTTTTTCTACCTGATCAGTTGAAACAAATTCGCTGCTAACGATTATTACTACAAAATTCTGGTAAAACTACGAGGATTCTATGAAATATTATGGTATTAAAAATTGAGATGAAAATTTGACAAAGTCGAAAATAGTAAAAACGCAATCTAAGCACCCACTAATGAGAAATAATAACTCGAATTATTAAGGTTCGAAGTAATATCAACAATTTACCATTTCGACCCATTGTCGTGATCCAGGAACTTCGTGAATCATGTTGACTTGGTTTATTTATGGAAACAATTACTTTCGAACGTGTTTGTAATTGTTGACCAAAACTCTTGATTAAACTATCATTGGATTGAGATGGATAAGGACGAACAATTATTAATAAATCAGTCGTTTGATTACCACTAGAATCTTTATTTACTGTAAGTGTTGTCAGTGTTTTTGTCTCTGGTATTGACATCGGAGTTGAAGTTGGAACTGAAACTGGAATGGGTGTTGGTATTGACTTGGGCTGAAGCTTCAACTGGCATCGATTGGGTCGGTAGTACCGACTCGGTACTGATGGTTGATCAGTCATTTGTGGTTGAACCATCCCCGAAAACAATTGATGGGATTGCTGTTCAGATATCGTTCTATGAGACTATGACTAATGACAAAATAAACTTTATTTTGATTTTCATCATTAAAGTTTACTCAAGTCTACTATTAATATTTATTGAGGTCACTTTTATTCAATTCGAAAAGTTTTTCAACAATTAAACGGTAAGACTCAAGATATGTCCGTCAGCTCGATATCTTAACTTTGAGCTGACTTTTTTTCGGCTTAAAGTTCAAGCTACATATGAAAATGGACTTAATTGTTCAGTTAATTGTGTTTGTTTAAATTAGGTTAGGTTAGGTCTTCGCTAATAAGGGTCACCATGACCAAAGAAAGGCCCGGAGGGCCTGAGACAATCAAACCGAACCTTAAGCCGAGAAAAAAATCAGCTGAAAATTGAAAATATCGAGCTGACGGACATATCTTGAGTCTTACCCAAAGTGAATCGAAAAAATTATTGCTAATCAGATGAATTTCAATTTTCAATTTTAACACAAGAAGTTTGAAAACTATTCGACGATATATTAATAATTTACGGGAATTGTTACCAAATCTCAGGGTAAATGTTTAACAGAAATTGCTCACACCAACTGGAAGTTTATTAATTTTTATTCTATTCAATTGTTTCAGATTTTTGATATCTCTTATCACTATTACGGCCAAGTTTGTAAAATGCATTATTTTGAGAAAGTGATTAGCGATCCCAAAATAAAAGGAATAGTTGGACTAGATACTCTTTATGACTACGATTTGAAAAATATCGAAATGGTTTCAATAAATTTTATACGTGTTTCGCATAAAAAACGCTTTCAACGTGATCAGTTGAAACAAATTCGTTATAAGGACTATTTTTATTTGCATAATCTTTTTGAACTCGCCGAATACTTTCCTAATTTGAAACGACTCAATATTTGGTTTGCAGGTAAATTATTAGTGTTTAATGTGATTAATGATCTTAATTAATTGAAGAATTATTTTCTAAGGTGAACAAGTTCGTTACAATGGTCCAAATTTACCCAATCTAAAGATCTTCGAGTTTTCTGTAGACAAATGGTATGATGACCATAACGCATTTCATGTGATGGACTTTTGTCCTTCTTTGGAAAGTGCTTTCATTCACGGTCAATCAGATGATGAATTTACCAACATGGCACAAAAAAACTACAATCTAAGGGATTTAGTAATTGAAACAGTGGGTATATAGAATCCGAATCTATTCTGAAATTAATTTTCAACTATTTTTTTGCATCTCAAGCCACTTGGAATACACCTAACATGGCCATTCTTACGAAAACTGTTGTCCAAGTATCCAAATTTACAAAATCTTGCGGTCAGAGGAGGTGATGCTATTAAGGATAGTCGTGTTGAAGAATTGGTCAAGTTAATGCCGAAGATAAAACTGTTGGACTTCAGAAGATCCAAAGGAGTGACTTCAAAATCAGCTGATTTCTTAACTAAATTCTGTCGCAAATCTTATCGATCAATCAAAATCTATTATGATTGTGAAAAGGAACCAATTGATTGGCCTAAATACAACACTCCTGAAGAATCAATCGTTTATGGATTCGATTTCATGAAACATTGTTTTTATAAGAATTTTCACTATCTTCCGAACCTAATTGATGAATGATCTCTAAAGCTACAAATTCATTTGTCATTGATAATGAAGTCCAACTGTGGACAATCAATACTAAATTTCATTTGTTTTCGTTTCTTTAGTTTGTTCAAAATGGTCAAATTTGATTGATATAAGATTGAAAAAAGTTAAATATCTTCTCAACAGTAAGTAAAATTCATATTCTAATTATTGTATCACTAATTTCTTGGTCGATTCTATCGATTTCTAGACAGAACAGTTCCAAATTTTGATTATTCAAAATTATGGGTGGATTCAGAAACTATTCAATTGGATAATTTACGGGAATTGTTACCAAATCTCAGGGTAAATATTACATAGAAATTGTTTACATTTACTAGTAATTTTTTATTTCTATTCTATGTTACAGATTCTTAATATTTTCTCTTGTTATGACGAGGGATCGAGGACAGTAAATTATGGAAAATTGGTTAACAATAATCCGAAAATAAAAGGACTGGTTGGATTAGATACTTTTCATTCACTTGATTTGGAAAATATCGAAATGATCTCAATAGATAATGAAATGGTGGAGTATAAAAAACTCTTTTGTCCTGATCAGTTGAAACAAATTTACTTTGAATGCGCTTTGCATTTGAATGATCTGAATGAACTCGTTGAATACTTTCCGAATTTAAAGAGAATCAACATCAAGTTTTATGGTAAATTATTCGTTTGAACAATGAACTAAATTAATTGAAGAATTATTTTCAAAGGTGGACCAGTTCGTTATGATGGTCCAAATTTATCCAATCTAAAGATCTTCGAGTTTTCTGTAGACGAATGGTATGATGACCATAACGCATTTCATGTGATGGACTTTTGTCCATCTCTGGAAAGTGCTTACATTAACGGCGAATCAGATGATGAATTTGCCAACATGGCACAAAAAAACTACAGCCTGAGGAATTTAGTAATTGAAACAGTGAGCATCGAATTAGAATCTTAAAATTGAATTGATTTTTACCTTTTTTTATTATCTTAAGGTTTCTATTAGATTGAGCAACTTGGCATGGCCATTTTTAAGAAAACTATTGCCCAAATATCCAAATTTACATAATCTTGCAATTAGAGGAGAAGACGCTATTAGGGATATCCATGTGAAAGAATTGGTTAAGTTACTACCAAAGGTAGAACTATTTGACTTCAGGAGATGTGATAATATCACTCGAAGATCAGCCGATTTCTTGTCTGAATATTGTCGCGAATCTAATCGATCAATCAAAATCTATTATGATTGTGAAGAGGAACCAATTGACTGGCCCAAATTAGACACTCCTCGAGAATCAATTGTTTATGGATTCGATTTCATGAAACATTGTTTTTATAAGCGTTTTTCTTGTCTTCCGCACCTAATTGATGAATAAACTAAAGCTTCCAATTCATTTGCATTAATAATGGTCTGATTGGATATTATATCAATTTACCATTCGAATGGCCTAAATTGGGAGCTTCTTGCGAATAAATTGTCTACAAACTCGATTTCATAAAACACTATTTTTATAAATCTTTTTCCACACTTTCAGATCTAATTGATTGACTAAAAAATTTCGGTATTAAAGTTGTTTGATACATAATAACATTTCACAAGAAGTTTAAATTCACTTAACATATTTTTATTCAATTCAAAAAGTTTTTTGAAACAATCAGTATATTTGAAAGAAGCGCTTTGATTGACTGAACCCTCCAGCTGATAACGGTTCTGTTGAATAGCAACAACTTTACCAAAGTTATCCTTTGGAAATGACATGTTAATTATTTCTAATGTTCAAATTACGAGAATCCGATTCGTTTTTTAATTTTACCTGTTCGTTGAATTATAATTATGTCATTCAACGATTTACCTAATGAATGTCTTTGCATGATCTTAGATAAAATCTTCGAACTAGAAGAGTTGATCAAACTTTCGAAAGGTAAAAGTATAAGAGTTTAAATGGTAAAGAGAAGTGACTTAAATTTTATTCTTTTTGTTTCTAAAGTTTGTTCGAAATGGTCCAGTTTAATATCCTTGAGGTACAGAAAGATTAAATATTTGCTCATTAGTAAGTAAATTGTTTTATACATGTAATTACTTTTGATTAATTTCGCCAACTCTGTTCTAAAGAGTCCAATGATGATCGTTTCGATCTTACCAAGATATTGATGAACGATCCAAAAACAATTAAAGATCATAATTTACGAGAATTGTTACCAAACCTCAGGGTAATTATCAAGTATAAGATTTTTATGTCAATATAATATTTATTAATCTAATGTTCGTACTTTTTGTGGTGAGTTTAGATTCTCAGTATTCCTGCTGTTTTATTTGGTGATGAGTTAGAATTTGAAGATGTAAAAAAATTGGTTGATGATAATCCGAAGATTAAAGGATTGATTAGACTCTATAGTCTTAATTCTGATTTGTTCCATTTGCTCAACTTGGAAAATATCGAAATGATTTCGGTGAAATCCCTCGAATTTGATTACAAAAAAGTCTTCCGACCTGATCAGTTGAAACAAATTCGCTTGTACGAAACTTTCATCACTGAACTTCCTCAATACGTTGAATACTTTCCAAGTTTAAAGCGACTCAACATTTCGCTGCTACTCAAAGGTAAGCTACTGATATCGAATCAATTATCGTATTAATTAATGAAAGAATTATTTTCGAAGGAGGAGAAAGAATTTACAAAGGTCCAAATTTGTCTAATCTGAAGATTCTTGAATTATATCTATCAGAATACGAAGGAAATTTTCATCTATTTCATTTTATGGACTTTTGTCCATCTTTAGAAAGCACTTTCATTCGTAGTCCATCGAAAGGTGAATATATTGATATATCCCTGAAGAATTACAATTTGAGAGATTTGGTTATTGAAATGGTGAGTATCGAATTTGTGATTTTCTTTGAATCTAAATTAAATTTTATTCTTCCTTTTCTTTCTAAAGTCATGGGGAGAAAGGCTGAACTGGTCGTTCTTTTGCGATCTTTTGTCCAAATTTCCAAATTTACATCATCTTGCGATTAGAGGAAGTGGCGAAATAAACGATGATCGTATTGAAGAGTTGGTGACGATTCTACCAGAAATAAAACTGTTGGACTTCAGAGGATCTAAAAATGTTACTGAAAAATCAGCTGATATTTTGTTTGAATATTGTCTCAGATCTCATCGATCAATCGAAATCTATTACAATCGTAAAGAGGAACCATTCGATTGGCCTAAATTAAACACTCCTCAAGATTCAATTGTCTATGGATTAGATTTCATGAAGCATTGTTTTTATAAATATTTTTGTGATCTTCCGGATCTAATTGATGAATAAACTCTCAAGCTACTATTAGTTAATCATTTCACACTGATAATGAGTAGAATGCTAATATCATTTAATTATTGTATCGTCTCTTATTTTTTAATTATGCTAACAACCGTTGATTTCGATTCAAAACTTTTGAATTGTCTTTTGAAACAATCAAAGTATTCAAAAGAACCAATTGATTGAATTTAAACCCTTCAACTAGTAACGGTTGTTTGTAGTTGCTGTAAGTGTAAACAGCTCAGTCCTGTTAAGATGGATCTAAAATTCAAAATTTAAAATTTTAATTACATGAGAAATTTTTCTTAATTAAAATAATTTCATTAAACGATTTACCAGAGAACTATCTTTGGTTGATCTTCGGCAATTCTTTTTCATTAGAAGAGTTGATCCAGTTGTCTAAAGGTAAGAGAATAATAGTTTTCATTGTATAAGAAATAGTCTGAAATTTAAATTCTGTTTTGTTAATTTGTTCAAAATGGTCCAACTTAATTTCCATGCGACTCGAAAAAGTAAAATATCTGGTCAGGGGTAAGTAAATTTGCATTTCGATTATTGCTCGTATTTTGTTAACCTTTTTATCGATTTCAAGTGCGGCCTCTTGATCATTTTGATTATACCAAAATTTGGGTAAAGAAACCAACTACTGTTGCACGCTACAATTTACGGGAATTGTTACCAAATCTCAGGGTAATTATCAAATAGAAAATTGCTCATATTTACTAACAGTTGATCTACTTTTATTTGCTGCAATGAGTTTAGATTTTAACTATTCCATGTCTCGGTCCCAGGGATCAAAATAAGATTAGAGCATTGGTAAACTGTAATTCAAATATCAAAGGTTTGGTTGGATTGAAAATTGATGATCTACTAGATTTGAAAAATGTCGAGATGGTCACAATGGATAATGCTATGTTCGACTATAAACATAAGTTTCAACCTGATCAGTTGAAACAAATTCGATTTTTTTCAACAGGTACCCGCATGCGAAAGCTTCATAAATACGTCCAATACTTTCCAAATTTGAAGCGACTCAACTTCAATTGCTGCGGTAAGTTATTGATGTTAATAATCTAGAATGAAGAAAGCAACTATTTCTTAAATAATAGAACGTATCGGGTACTATGGTCCGCAATTGTCCAATTTGAAGATTCTGGAATCTTATTTATACGGATGGGATGGAGATCTTGATGAATTTTATCTGTTGGACTTTTGTCCATCTTTAGAAAGCGCTTTCATCAAAATTGCGGTACCATATGAGCGCGTTGATTCGTCCATAAAGAACTACAATTTGAGAGATTTGGTTATTGAAATAGTGAGTATTCGCTTTATATTTTTCTTTGAATCTGAGTAATTTTTAAAAATTATTTTTACTCTTCTTTTTCTTGCTACAGTCACGGGATGAACAGCTGAACTGGCGTTTTGTACGTGCGCTGTTGTCCAAATTTCCTAATTTACATCATCTTGCGATTAGAGGCCCTTGTTTTTATAGTACTATATATGGTAACGAAACAAATGATGATCGTATTAAGGAATTGGTAAAGATTCTACCAGAAATAAAACTATTTGACTTCAGAAAACTCAGAAGAATCACGCGTAAATCAGCGGATTTCTTATCTAAATATTGTGCTGAATCTAATCGATCAATCAAAATCTATTATAACTGTGAAAAGGAACCAGATGATTGGCCAAAATACGATACTCCTCGAGAATCAATCGTCTACGGATTCGATTTCATGAAACATTGTTTTTATAAGAGTTTTTCCAATCTTCCGGACCTAATTGATGAATAAAAGCATCTACATTTTATTATATCAAATAATATTAATATTCTTCCATGGAAGAAGCGATTTGATCGACTTAACCCTTCCAGCTCGTATGTATTCCTGTTTTCAATCAAGTCAATGAGCTTGAATAGTTGATTCAATTATCTGAAGGTAACATAGTATTGGAGTTTTAATAGTAGCAAAAAGCAACTTCATTTCTTTTCGGTTCTATAGTTTGCTTAAAATGGTCCAAGTTAATTTCTGTAAGATTGAAAAAAGTTAAATACATTGCTAACAGTAAGTAAATTTTCATTTAATCATAAATCAGTTTTGACTCATTTTTCGAGATGGAAAATGGTGATTGAATTGATCATGGCAAAGATTGGTGTAAACTGAATTTGAAAAACTCGAAAAGAGTGCAATAATCTATCCGATATAAAAGTCTTCCAATCTTCTAAGATGAAACAGATTAGTTACAATAACTTTGAGATTCAACTTCTTTATAAATATATTGAATGTATTGTAATACTTTCCAAACTTGAAGTGACTCAATATTTCGTTTGGTGGTAAGTTATTGATGTTGAATTAATTTTAAAAAACTCAAATACACATTCATGATACCTAGAAACATGGGCAACAAATAGAAGATGATCAAATAATTAACTCGTATTCTTATTCACATTCAACTTATTATCAATGTAAAATGAATTAGAAGCTTTAAAATTTATTCATCAATTAGGTCACTGTCATGATACAATAAAATGTAAGTGATTTTATTCATCGATTAGGTCCGGAAGATTGGGAAAACTTTCATCGAAACAATGCTCATAAGATTTGAAAAATTGGTGGTTTTCGTGGTTTATTCATCAATTAGAAATGGAAGCCGGGAAAAAGACTTATAAAAACAATGTTTCATAAGATCGAATTAGTAGACAATTTATTCGTAAGAAGCTCCGAAGAAAATTGATTCACGAGGAGTATCGTATTCAGGCCACTCAATTGAGGTCTGACCCCAATCATAAAAGCTTCGAATTGATCCATTAGATTTGCGACAGTATATAAGGTCATATAAGTGTTTATTGTGATTTTTTCCCTTGCTAAATTATAAAAGATGATACAATAATTAAATCACGTGATACTAAGTATCAATGTAAAATGAGCCTGTAGCATTAGAGTTCATTCATCAATTAGATCTGGAAGAGCGAAAAAAGTTTTATAAAAACAATGTTCCATGAAATCGAATCCGTAGACAATTGATTCTCGATGCGAGTCTAATTTAGGCCAGTCAGTTTGTTGCTTTTTACAATCATAATAAATTTTGATTGATCGATCATATTTGAGACAGAATTTAGACAAGAAATCAGCTGATTTTGAAGTCACTCCTTTGGATCTTCTGAAGTCCAAAGTTTTATTTCTGGTAGAATCGCAACCAACTCTTCAAGACGACTATCATTTATTTCGCCACTTCCTCTAATCGCAAGATTATGCAAATTTGGATATTTGGACAACAGTCTTCGTAAAAATGGCCATGATATGTAGTTTGTCATGAGTTCACTCCCTACCTTTAAATAAAAAACAGAAAGAAGATTATTCATATTCTAAGAGAACCTTGATACTCACGTATTGTTTTTAATCACCAAATCTCTTAGGTTGTAGTTCCTTAGAGAGATATCAGTATAGCGATCAACATTTTGTTCAAATGGTGATATGCAAGATGAAATAATAGACTTATTAATAGGATAAATTTGAATTTGATACTCACTGTTTCAATTACTAAATCCCTTAGATTGTAGTTCTTCCGTGCCATGTTGGTAAACTCATCATCTGATTGTCCCTGAATGTAAGCACTTTCCAAAGATGGACAAAAGTCCATCACATGAAATGCGGGACAGAAAGAATCCCAGCATCCAGAAAACTCAAAGATCTTCAGATTGGATAAATTTGGACCATTATAACGATCTTTTTGCCCTTTAAAAATAATTCTTCAGTTAATGTAGATCATTAATCGAACAGCAATAATTTACCTTCAAGCCAAATGTTGAGTCGCTTCAAATCAGGGAAGTATTTGACGAGTTCAGAAAGATCTTTCAGCAGGAAATCTTCATTATAACGAATTTGTTTCAACTGATTAGGGCGAAAGAGTTTTTTATACTCTTGCTCATAATAAAATTGATCTATTGAGACCATACTGATCATTTTCAAATCGATGATATATTTAGAATCTATTCCAACCAGTCCTTTTATTTTCGGATTATTGTCAACAATTGGTCCATAATTTGATGATCTCCATGGTCTATCGTCAGCGTAAGGAAAGAGATCAAGAGCCTTGAACCATTAAAATGAACAAAATTAATAAACTACTAGTAAACCATTTCTATTTAATATCTACCCTGAGATTTGGTAACAATTCCCTTAAATTATAAACTTCGAAAGTTTCTGGATCCTCCATCCATACTTTTGAATAATCCAAATGAGTAACTTTCCATTCTATGAGTCGATAGAATCAGTTTAACAGATTAGGTTAGAAAATTACTGATATAATAGTTGTAATTACAATTGTACTTACCGATGAGAAGATATTTAACTTTTTTCAATCTTATATCAATCAAATTGGACCATTTTGAACAAACTTTAGAAACAAAAACAAGTGAAATTTAGTATTTATTATCAACAGTTGAACTTTCAAACTTTTACCTTTAGACAATTCGATCAACTCTTCTAATCTGAAGAAGTTGTCGAAGATCAACCAGAGACAATCATCAGGTAAATCGTTTAATAACATATTTATAATTCACTGAACAATTAAAATAGTGTTGTGGTGATACTTTACTTTTGGATAAGGCCCAAGATAAGTCCGGTAGCTCACAATTTACACTCTCAGCTGACTTTTTTCGCCAAAGAGTAATAAGCTAGTCACTCCGTAGGGGTGGCGTCTCACGTGGTCGCTCATTGACCATCGCTTCAAGAAAAGTTGTTTGTCAATTAGATTTCTTGCGACTTTTAATAGGAAATGTAAATACTTTTTAATTAAGATATTTTTAATCTAATTGTACAGTCAAAGACTTAAAGTTGGCAACCACTTTTTAAATACTTCACGCAGTTGAATATAATCAATGAGAGATAAAGTTAATCCAGAGATATGATAATAAGTTTGTCGACTAATTCAAGTGATGTGGTCTTAAAAAGGTCAACTGATTAGATATCAAAAGTTATCTTTACTTGATTATCGTTAACTGCGTGAGTGATTTAAAAAATGGTTGCAAACTTAGTCTTTGGCTGTATTATACTTAGCACTTAGTAATTCACTTTAAAGGGAAGTTTTTTTTCAATATCTTCCTGAATACATTGAACATTTTTCCGAATTTAGAGCGACTCAGCTTCATGTTCTATGGTAAATTATTGATGCTGAATAAGTGATCTAGATTAATACAAAACTATTTTTAAAGAGGAACAAGTTCTTAATGTTGGTCCAAATCTATGCAATCTCAAGATTCTTGAATTTGCTTCAGACCAATGGAATTTGCGTTTACGGATTTCATTTGATGAACTTTTGTACATCTTTGGAAAACGCTTTTATGAGTTGTTCAAATGGTGATCGCTATGCTAATATCTATCTAAAGAACTACTATTTAAGAGATTTGGTGATTACAAAACATTACGTGAGTATCGAGATTCTTTTGCAATCAGAATCATTTTTATCTGTTTTTTATTTCAAGGCACTTGCCGAATGCATTACATAGCCATTCTTACAGAAACTGTTATGAAAATTTAAATCATCTTGCAATTAGAGGAAGTGACGAAATAAACGATGATCGTATAGAATAACTGGTAGCAATTCTACTAGAAATAAAACTGTTGAACTACAGAAGATCCGGAAAAAGTCACTGAGAAATCAGTTGATTTCTTATCAGCCTTGAATCCAATCGATTAGAATTGGCGAAGTGGAAATTTTGACCATGAAAGTGTATGTTACCGTTGTAATTTTGAGTCTTCGTTTTTGATTTTTACCTTGATTGTTATTCTACTATTGAATGCTTCGCTCAAAGGGTGTCTTTGGATGTTCCTCGACCCAAGTAAGAGATAAACACACGTTTCTTGCGAAAAAATATAAAAATTAAATCGTATTGACTGGTTATCGATGTAGCATGATTTATTGAAGCTTTAGAGTTCATTCATCAATTAGGCGCGGAAGATCATCAAAAGGTCTATAAAAACAATGCTTCATAAAATCGAATCCGTAGACAATTGATTCTCGAGGATTATCGTATTTAGGCCAGTCATTTGGTTCCTTTTCACAATCATAATAGATTTTTATGGATCGATTAGACTCAAGACAGAATTTAGATAAAAAATCAGCTGATTTAACAGTAACTTTTTTGGATCCTCTGAAGTCCATCAGCTTTATCATTGGTAATAATTTTACCAATTCTGTAACACGACTATCATCCATTTTATAACCTCCGTCGATCGCAAGATTATGTAAATTTGGATACTTGGACAACAGTTTTCGTAAGAATGGCCATGTTAAGTTGTCTGTCGATGGCTATGATGAAAATTGATTTAAATGAAATTCATATATGAAGGCTGTTGTAGAATGGATTGAATGGTGAATTATCATACGCAAAGAGTGATACGAACTAGAAAATTAATTCAATTGTCATATCCTTAACACAATTTACTTTAGAATAAATTAGATACATACTGTATTTACAATTACCAAATCCCTTAAATTGTAGTTCTTTCGAGCCATGTTGGTAAATTCATCATCTGATTGGTCACAAATGTAAGCACTTTCCAAAGATGGACAAAAGTCCATCACATGAATTGCATTACAGGTACCAAACTGCCCATCTACAGTAGACTCAAAGATCTTCAGATTGAATAAATTTGGACCATCATAACGAACTGGTTTCCCTTTAAGAATAATTCTTCAATTAATTTAGATAATTAATCAAAAAGTACACGTGTAATTTACCACAGAACTTAACGTTGATTCTCTTTAAATTCGGAAAGTATTCGACGAGTTCATTCAGATCATTTAGATCAAAAGCGCAATCAAAGTAAATTTGTTTCAACTGATCAGGACAAAAGAGTTTTTTATACTCCATCATTTTATTATCCATTGCGACCATCTCGATATTTTCCAAATTGAGATTATAACCATCAGTTAGATCAACCAGTCCTTTTATTTTCGGATTATTGTCAACCATTGGTCTATAATTTGATGATATCCATGGTTTATCACCAACGTAAGGAAAGAGATCAATGGCCTTGAGCCATTAAAACGAACAAAATTAATAAACTACTAGTAAACCATTTCTATTTAATATCTACCCTGAGATTTGGTAACAATTCCCTTAAATCATAAACTTCGATAGTTTCTGGATCCTCCATCCATACTTTTGAATGATCTAAATGTTTAATTGTCACTCCTAGAAGTCGATAGAATCGGTTAAGAATTTCTGACACAATAATTTAAATGTGAATTTTACTTACTGTTGAGAAGATATTTAACTTTCTTGAATCTTAGATCAATCAAATTGGACCATTTTGAACAGACTAAAGAAACAAAAACAATTGAAATTTAGTATTGAATTAATACTACAATTTATTAATTATCCACAGTTGAACTTTTAAGCTTTTACCTTTAGACAATTGAATCAGCTCTTCTAATTCGAAGAAGTTGTCGAAGATCAACCAGAGACAATCATCAATCAAATCGTTCAATAGCATAATTACATATAATTCACTGAACAGTTAAAATAAAAATCGCCAATGAAATAAAAATTAATAATTTTAAATTAGGAATAACCTTAAACATGTGCCTCATCACTCGGTTTGTGGCTCCTGAAGGAAAAGTGAAAGGGTTTAAATTAAATCAACCGCTTCTTTTGAACAGTTTGATTGTATCAAAAAACAGTTCGAAATCATTAGTTATTTTCAGCGTCTTAATCTATTTCAAGGCACAGATATTCATCAGCAATTGAGATTCATAATCACACTAATTCATTCAATGGTCAATTCAATCTTTCGGAAATCGACTGTCCTAATTTCCTATTTCACATAACCTTGCGATTACTGGTTTTGTCGAAAAGTTTGAGGATAATCATTCAAAAGAACTGGTGAGATTATTATCAGAGATGAAATAATTTAAGGATAATAATTAAGGAATAAATTTTCTTTGTCATGACAAAATATGGTACGAAAATTTCTCTCCTCAGAGTTGTAATGATAAGTGAATTTGTTGACATTTTAGTTTGATTTCGATTTTTGAATCGAGCGCTCGTATCCTAAACCTCACATGTGAAACAAACTTTTTTACCGCCTTGTGTTATACAAAACTTAGTATCGAAAGTTTCATATTCAAAACTTCAATTTAGTGACTTCGTTTTTTTCACTTTACCCATTTAGTGAATTATAGTTATGTTATTAAACGATTTACCTGATGATTGTCTCTGGTTGATCTTTGACAAATTTTTCAAATTAGAAGAGTTGATTCAATTGTCTAAAGGTAAAAGTATAAGAGTTTGAATCTTAGAGGAAATTTACTGAAATTTGAAATCTTTTTTCTTCTTTTTTCTTATTCTTTTAGTTTGTTCAAAATGGTCCAATTTGATTTCCATACGACTCAAAAAAGTTAAATATCTGGTAAATTGTGAGTAAATTTTTAGTCGATTCTTGATTTTTTAGATTAATTTTCACAGTTCCATCGATTTCAAGGGTTCGATGTTCATAAACACGATTATTCCAAAATATGGATGGAGAATCCAAATACTTTGTCTGATTACAATCTTCAAGAGCTTTTACCAAATCTCAGGGTAATTATATCTAAATGATAACAATTAGAAATTTAATCTACAGTAAGTCACACACTTATTTTGCATGTTTGACAAAAGTGAGGAGATTAGATGGCAATGAAGAATCTTCACAAAATAAGTGTGTGACTGTATTTGTTTAATGCTCGATAACTAAATTGATTATAATTCTTTTCGATGGTTTTAGATTGTCAATTTCCCTTTTGTTTCCGTTGGACAGGCGTCTCACGCGGTCGATGTCAGAAAAGTGGTGAATGATAATCCGAAAATAAAAGGATTAATTCGAATCAATAGTCGCGATTCTGATTCATTCAATGGGCACAACTTGGAGAATATCGAAATGATTTCGATGAAATCTCTGGATTTTGATTACAAAAAAATCTTTCGACCTGATCAGTTGAAACAAATCCACTTGTACGATGCTTCCATTGACGAGCTTCCTAAATGCGCTGAATATTTTCCAAATTTGAAGCGACTCAATATTTCGTTTTGTGGTAAAATTTCTAAATTCGACTAATTTTCTAGATTAATGAAAGAATTATGTTTTTTAGGAGGAGAAGTAGATTACTATGGCCCAGAATTTACCAATCTCAAGATTCTTGAACTTAATTCATATCAAGAGTATGGTACTTATAACGGAGTTCGTTTGATGGACTCTTGTCCTTATCTTACGAGCGCTTTTATGAGACTTCCAATAGGAAATGTTAATACTGATGAAGCTAAAAGGAACTATAATCTGAAGGATTTGGTTATTGATCTGGTGAGTATTAAATCTCAGTTTTGTTTTGATTAGTAAAAATAGTTTTTCTTTATTCATCCGAAGCCAATGAGAGAATTTCCTAATTTCACTTGGTCACACTTGCGAAAACTGTTGTCCAAATATCCAAATTTACAAAATCTTGCTATCAGAAAAAGTGAAGGTATTGGGGATAATCATGTAGAAAAATTGGTTCGATTATTATCAGAGATAAAACTATTAGACTTGAGAAGTTGTGAAAATGTTACTGGAAAATCAGCTGATTTCTTGTCTAAATTCTGTCTTAAATCCAATCGATCAATCAAAATCTATTATGATTGTGAAAAGGAACCGGACGACTGGCCCAAATACGATACTCCTCGAGAATCAATTGTCTATGGATTCAATTTCATGAAACATTGTTTTTATAAATCTTTTAGCTCCCTTCCGAACGTAATTGATGAATAAAATTTATGATAATCCCCAAATAAAAGTTTTTTTTTCTACAATTGTACAATTCTTGTATGAATGAGTTTTTTAGACTATAGAGATACTTGTTGAATTCAGTTCTCAATTATATCCAATCGTATCATATTATCGTTCGGAGGATATGGCCTCCGGTAACTTTTGTTCAATTCGAAAAGTTTTTTGAACTATTCAAAAAAAGCGCTTTAGGTCTTTCAGCTGTAACTCTGCGTCTAAGACACAAAGTTGGGTTCAATTTAATAAAAGTTTTATTAGTAATTCTCAATTTCTGCTTGTTTCTGTTAATCAATTGCTTATACCTGTTGAGCGGCTTATAATTATGTTGTTAAACGATCTACCTGATGATTGCCTTTGGTTGATCTTCGACTATTTTTTTGATTTAGAAGAATTGATTAGATTGTCTCAAGGTAAGAGTATAAAAGTTTTAATTTTGATGAAAAGTAACTCGATTCTTTTTGTTTCTGAAGTTTGTTCGAAATGGTCCAATTTAATTTGCATTAGACTCAAAAGAGTCAAATATCTCGACACCAGTAAGTTGATTTACATGTAAATAGTTCTGACTAACTTTCATGATTTATTAATTGTTTTAAGAAAAACCTGAAGATAACATTGACTATTCCAAAATATGGATGACTGATCCAGTAAATACTCTTAAACATCACAATTTATCAGAATTGTTATCAAATCTCAGGGTAATTATCGAATAGAAAATGAACATAGGACATTGATTTACATGTATATTCTTTTTAATGATTTCAGATTGTCACTGTAGTTGATGAGTTCGACAACTATAAATTGAAGCCAAGACATTTCAGAAAAGTGATCAACAATAATCCGAAAATCAAAGGAGTCATTGGATTACAGAACAAGTGTAAGCTCAATTTGAGACACGTCGAAATGATGGCAATGAGCCATATGGTTAACTACAAGAAAGTTTTTCGCTCTGATCAGTTGAAACAAATTCAATTAAAAGGGCTTCATGTACATAATCTTCCTGAATACGTTGAATACTTTCCGAATTTGCAGCGACTCCATGTTTGTCTACTTGGTAAATCATTCATGTCGATTTAATATCTTTCAAGATTGTTAGATTAATCAAAGAATCATTTCTACAGGAGGTGAGCGTTACAATGGTCCAAATTTATCAAAGCTGAAGATTCTTGAAGCTTATGTATCAGGATTCGGTCAGGATTGTGACAAATTCAACGTGATAGATTATTGTCCGTCTTTGGAAAGCGCTTTTATTTGTGGTACTACATATGAGCAAAGAATTAACATTTCCATAAAGAACTACAATCTAAAAGATTTGGTGATTGACATAGTGAGTATCGAATTAAAGTTTATCTTTAAATTGAGTTGATTCTTATATCTATTTTCTTCATCTGCAGCCATTGGTAGATTACATGAATTGGTCATCTATCCGAAAACTGTTGACCAAATTTCCAAATTTACTCCATCTCGCGATCAGAGGATCTCAAGATGTTGCAGATTGTCATGTCGAAGAATTGGTTCAACTATTGCCACAGATAAAGCTATTGGATTTTAGGGAATCTAATGGAATTACTGTTAAATCAGCTGATTTCTTATCTAAATTCTGTCTCAAATCTGATCGATCCATCAAAATCTATTATGATTGTGAAAATGAACCAGAAGACTGGCCCAAATACGATACACCTCAAGAATCAATTGTTTACGGATTCAATTTCATGAAACATTGTTTTTATAAGTCTTTCCCCTACCTCCCATTTCTATTTGATGAATAAACCACGCAAATTTCAAATCTCATGTTTCTGTAATAAATTCATTAGACAAGATCATTGCTCAAAATAAAATTTATTTCATCGTCAAAATAAAGTAGGATTAATCTTACAACTGGTCAGTTGGTTGTCCAAAAGTTCAATACACTCTTGTAAATGGACGAACTATCAACAAGTGTTAGTAACCTTGTTCTCTTAAGGCCACAATCGACCTAATCAAACAATAATATAATATTATTAATATTCATGTCCTTCTCAGAAGGAAAAGTCACAATCAAACAGCCAAAAAGTTCAATCAGTCCCTTGTCAAAATCAAAATAAAACAATGGTGCCTGTTCAGACTTTGGAAGAGGGTTAATCTTATTATTATGGAGCAATTTTTATGATTTTATTGTTTTAACATGAGCCTGTTGATAACTTTGAACACTTAATAAACATTGAAAACATAATTATTCATGTGATTACGATGACGAACCAACTGAATACATTTTATACGAAGCTCCTTGAGAATCAATGATCCAACGTTAATAACAATACAATGAGAAGCACCGACGAGATAGACGATAATCAAGTGAAACGAATAGTTAAACAATGACTTAGTAAGGAACAATTTGCCTCCAGGGAATGTGACAGAGAAACAACAGTTCGATTGATTATAATTTCATACTCGACGATCAAAATGTCGAAAAATTTTTTTTCCATATTTTGATACTCAAACAGCGACACATTACTTCGTGGACACGACACATCATTCAAAAAAAGCGCTTGATTTGTTTTAAACGCTTTCAGCTGTTGATTGTTTTGTCAATTTCAAAGCTTTTACCCAAACAATCAGACTGATTGACTTAGTTAATTTCAATGAATTATTATCATGTTATTGAACGATTTACCGGATGATTGCCTTTGGTTGATCTTCGACAACTTCTCGGGTTTAGAAGATTTGATTAGATTGTCTCAAGGTAAGAGTATAAAAGTTTTAATTTTGATAGAAATTAATTTGATTCTTTTTATTTCTGAAGTTTGTTCGAAATGGTCCAGTTTAATTTCAATAAGATTCAAAAAAGTCAAATATCTCGTCAACAGTAAGTAAATTTCCACATAATTAGTTCTGTTTACATTTTAATATTATAATCGTTTTCAAGGTGAGCCTATTGATCACATCAACAATTCCAAAATATGGACGAGGGATCCAATAGATACTCTAAAACATCACAATTTACGAGAATTGTTACCAAATCTCAGGGTAATTATCAAACAGAAAATCTTTCATCCTTATTAATTATTCTAACTCTTTTTGATGGTTTAAGATTGTCACTGTGGTTGATTTTCTCCCCAGGCCTCAATTGAAACCAAGACATTTCAAAAAAGTGATCAACAATAATCCGAAGATTAAAGGTTTGATTGGATTGAGAAACAAGTGTGCAGTCGATTTGAAAAATATCGAAATGATCGCAATGGATCATATGGATGATTACAGAAAAGTCTTTCAACCTGATCAGTTGAAACAAATTTACTTTGGGCTTCTTCATGTAAATAAACTTCCTGAATACGTTGAATACTTTCCGAATTTAAAGCGATTCCATGGGCGTCTCCTTGGTAAATCATTCATGTCGATTTAATATATTTCAAGATTGTTAGATTAATCAAAGAATCATTTCTACAGGAGAGGAGCGTTACAATGGTCCAAATTTATCCAAACTAAAGATTCTTGAAGCTGTTTTGTCAGGATTGTATGAAAAAAATGACAAGATCGATTTATTAGATTTTTGCCCGTCTCTGGAAAGTGCTTCAATTTGTTGTGCTCCATATGATCAACATATTGATCTTTCAATTAAGAACTACAATCTAAAAGATTTAGTTATTGAAATAGTGAGTATCGAATTTGAGTTTATCCTTAGATCGAGGCTTACTCTTTTATCTGTTTTTTCACGGATGAAAGATATGACTTAAGTTTCTCTTCAAATTGAGTCGATTCTTACAACATACACATTTATTTATATCTATTTTTCATTTAAAGCCATGGGCAAATAGCATGAATTGGTCATCTATCCGAAAACTGTTGACCAAATTTCCAAATTTACTCCATCTCGCGATCAGAGGATCTGAAGATGTTGCGGATTGTCATGTGGAAGAATTGGTTCAACTATTGCTACAGATAAAACTATTGGACTTGAGAAGTTGTGAAAATTTTACTGGAAAATCAGCTGATTTCTTATCTAAATTCTGTCGCAAATTCAATCGATCAATCAAAATCTATTATGATTGTGAAAATGAACCAGATGACTGGCCCAAATACGATACTCCTCAAGAATCAATTGTCTATGGATTTGATTTCATGAAACATTGTTTTTAAGTCTTTTTCTCGGCTTCCATTTCTAATTGATGATCAAATTAATCTATTGATCTAATAAATCAATCAGACAAGATTTTTCAATGAAAAATAAACTTTATTTGTTTTCTCAATAGTAGTCGAACTCACTGAATCAATCACACTAACTTCAAATTATACTAAAAATATTGATTCTCAGCGCAATTAAAACTTTGCAAATCAATTTTGTTTCACGTCTCATCGTAATAAAAATTTCATTATTTCTAATAACAGTTTCAATGGGATAAATCATCAATCATAAAATGAATCACATGATGTGAATCAGGTAATAATCTATTATAGTTGGTTAAACTATCGAAACAATTATCTACTTAAAATAAGCGCTTAATGTTAATCAAACGATTTCATCAGCTGTCAACAATTCAAAGGGAAAAGGGAAAAGCAAAGGGTTAAAGCTCTTTGAAGAAAAGACTCTGAGCTTGATTGTGCTTTTCAATTAAAAGGTTTAATTATTTCATAAAGAAATTCAGTCATTCAATTAGTGAACTTTCATCATGTCTTTCGACAAATTACCTGAAAATTGTCTTTGGAAGATCTTCGACAATTTCGATGAATTAGAAGAGTTGATCCAATTGTCTAAAGGTAAAAGTAAAAGATTTTGAATTGTGATAGAAATTAACTTAATTCTTTCTGTTTCTGAAGTTTGTTCGAAATGGTCCAATTTAATTTCCATTAGATTCTCAAAAGTTAAATATCTGCTCCACAGTAAGTAAACTTCCATTCAATTGTCTCTCATAATCAACCAATTCTTTGGCTTCAATCAGGTGATGTTGTTCATTTTGATTATTCCAAAATATGGATAGAGAAAGAGCTAACATTCAAATATAATCTACGGAAACTGTTGCCAAATCTCAGGGTAAATATTGACTAGAATTTGATCATATGAAGTAAAAGATGGTTTATTCTTATTCTTTACTACTAATTTAGATTTTAAATGTCTCTTGTGGTGTTCCATATACATCAATGAATTTTAATGTATCCCCGCCCGAAGTCCGAGACCACTTTAAATTCCCACCAGAATATTTCCAGGATGTGGTCAACAATAATCCAAAGATAAAGGGAGTGCTTGGGATACGCGCTGGTCTCAATTTGGATCTAGAAAATATCGAGATGGTCGAAATGGATTATATGTTGGATTGTAAAAGAATCTTTCGACCTGATCAATTGAGACAAATTCGCTTTAAACGCGACTTCTTCTTTGAATTTCTGCCTAAATACATTGAATATTTTCCGAATTTGAAGCGACTCAACATAACGTTCAATGGTAAATTATTGATGCTCAATTAGTGATCTAAATTAATGAAAGAATTATTTTTAAAGGGAAAAAAGTTCTTTATGCTGGTCCAAATCTATGCAATCTAAAGATTCTTGAATTTGCTTCAGACCGATGGAATTTAAGTGTTTACGGATTTCATTTGATGAACTTTTGTCCATCTCTAGAAAGCGCTTTTATGAGCTGTTCAAATGGTCTCTATAGCATATCACCATCTGAACAAAATGTTAATCGCTATACTGATATCTCTCTAAAGAACTACAACCTAAGAGATTTGGTGATTAAAAAACATTACGTAAGTATCGAAATTCTCTTGGAATATGAATAATCTTCTCTCTGTTTTTTATTTCAAGGTAGGGAGTGAATTCGTGACAAATTACATAACATGGCCATACTTACGAAGACTGTTGTCCAAATATCCAAATTTACAAAATCTTGCGATTAGAGGAGGTGACACTATTGAGGATAATCTTGTTGTAGAATTGGTAAAGTTATTACCAAAAATAAAACTGTTGGACTTCAGGGGATCAAAAAGAGTTACTCAAAAATCAGCTGATTTCTTATCTAAATTTTGCCTTGAATCTAATAGATCAGTCAAAATCTATTATGATTGTGAAGAAGAACCAACTGATTGGCCTAAATTAAGCACTGCTGGTGATTCAATTGTCTATGGATTCGACTTCATGAAGCATTGTTTTTATAAATCTTTTCATTCTCTTCCGTGCTTAATTGATGAATAAATTACGAAAATTTCGAATCTCGTTAAGTCAATTGTATGTTTCACAGTGAAAAATTAAACTAGAACCTGTTGGCGTTTTGACAGAAATTCCTAAATCTAAAAATTTCTCAGTTAGAATTAGTGAGGTTGAAACTCTGACGGAGAAAATCAGAAATTAGAATTAGTATGTTACTTTTGTAACTCTGAATTAATTTTAAGTCTTCGTTTTTTATTATTACCTTGATTGTTATTCTATTATTAAACGATTGACCAATAGTCTGTCTTTGGATGGTCCTCGATTTGAATATTAATTAAAAAATGGTAAACTTTTCATCTGATTGACTGAATATGTACTTTCCAAAGATGGACAAAAGTCCGTCACATGAATTGCGTTACAGGTAGGATGACATCCATCTACAAAAGACTCATAAATCTTCAGGTTAGATAAATTTGGACCATTATAACGAACTTGTTTCCCTAGAAAAATAATTTTTAAGTTAATTTAGATCATCGATCCAACATCAACAATTTACCATAAAACTTAATTTTGATTCTGTTTAAATTCAGAAAGTACTCGACGAGTTCAGAAAGATCATTCAAATGTAAAGAGGAAGCATAGTAAATTTGGCTAAACTTTTTAGGATGAAAGAGTTTTTTTATAATCCAAAATATCAATTGAGATCATTTCGATATTTTTTAAATTGAGATTAATACCATGAGTTAGTCCAATCAGTCCTTTAATTTTCGGATTATTGTTAACCAAATTTTCATAATTTACAATTCTCCAATTCTTGTAATACGAAAAAATATCAAAAATCTGAAATCAATGGTTATTGTTAGTATATCGGTTAGGATAGTTAAAAAGGACTATCATGAATGATTTCAGAACCAAGTGACAATGACAGAGTTTACAACTCACGATAATTCAATATTTATGGTGATTTTTTGGAAGTCTTGGCCATTAGCAGTTAATCTTATTTCATCACAATAATTTAATCCATCCCAGTGCTTATCAAACTCAAATTTGATCGAGTAATTAGAATCTATTTTGATTGTGAAAAGGAACCGAATGACTGGCCTAAATACGATAACCCTCGAGAATCAATTGTCTACGGATTCGATTTTATGAAACATTGTTTGTATAAATCTTTTTTCACTCTTCCGTATCTAATGAATGATGATTATCGCCTTACAAGTCGCTTTCCCTGCACGATCTGCAATAGAAAATATTAAACTTTCAACATCTTGTCAGTCGCGTAAACATCGTATTTCTTTTCAGAGGAAATAAATTTATTACCTGATTAATCAGGCGAATTTCGAATTTTTAATAACACGACTTAAGTGAAGGTAAGAGAATTCGATCTTCCAAAGTTCAACTTCCTCAGATGTATAATGAGTACGAGTATAATAAGCTTAATTATTACGCCTGTTGATAACGTTCAGTCAATGTTAATGTTTATTTTAACATCGGCTAAAGGCAATGCATTATACACCAATATATGGTGGCCCCATCGGGCACTCAGCTAATCGCTCAGTTTTTACAATTTGAATTCTAGTAAATTTACAATTACATTCAAAAGCTTTAGTTTGTTTACAATATTTTCTTCATTCATTGAATCCAGTCCTTCAATCGTAAGCATTTTGTTGTCTTAGATTAGCTAATCGCTCTGTTTTGAACATTGAAAACATTTAAATTTGAATTTTTTGAATTAGAAATAGATATCAGTTGATTGAGACAAAGGTAATAATCAGGTCAAAAGTTAACTCATTCGGTTTGTCGTGAAAAGAAGGAGAAAATGAAATAAGAATTTCAATCTTTTCGAAGAATATGTCCGAGATAGAGCATAATTTAGAGTTAATAAAGAAGAAAAGAGAAATTAAGGTCGATGTGTAAAAATCGAATTACAATTCGCATAAATATAGTTGGTGTTTGAAGTATTGGTATCTTTAATTAAACCCTTTCTAAAGTCAGAGAGTACCAAGTTGCTTGTTTTCGAATGAATTTTAATAGCATAAACCATCCAATGAAATTAATTCATATCTATTCGTCAATTAGTTCTGGAAGATTATAAAACGTTTTATAAAAACAATGTTTCATGAAGTCGAATCCGCAGACAATTGATTCTCGAGGAGTGTCTAATTTGGGCCAGTCATCTGGTTCCTTTTCACAATCATAATAGATTTTGATGGATCGATTAGATTTGAGACAGAATTTAGATAAGAAATCAGCTGATTTAACAGTAACTCCATTAGATTTCCTAAAGTCCAACAGTTTTATCCTTGGCAATAACTCCAACAATTCCTCAACATGACTATCTTCAATAGTGTCACCACCTCTGACCGCGAGATGCTGTAAATTTGGATACTTGGACAACAGTGTTCGTAAGAATGGCCATGTAAGGTATTCATCAAATAGCTTAAGATGAAAAAAAACATTAGAAAATATATTTCCGAATAGACTTGAATTCAATACTCACTGAGAACATAGTTGAAAATACCAAATCCCTTAGATTGTAGTTCTTTAGTGCCATGTTGGTAAATTCATCATCTAATTGACCATGAATGTGAGCACTTTCCAAAGATGGGCAAAAGTCCATCACATGAATTGTGTTACAGATACCTAAATACCCGGACGTTTCATACATCGTATCATCCCAAACCGAAGCCTCAAAGATTTTTAGATTGGATAAATTTGGACCATTATAACGAACTTTTCGACCTTCAAAAAGAATTTTTCAATTAATTTAGACCATTAATCCAACGTCAATATTTTACCTTGAAATGAAAGGTTGAGTCGCTTCAAATTCGGAAAGTATTTGACGAGTCGAGAAAGATTATTCATATGAAAATCTAGCATACAGTAAATTTGTTTCAGCTGACCAGGCCGAAATAATTTTTCAAAATCCAACAAATAATTCATTGAGACCATTTCGACATTTTCCAAATCGAGCTTGTAAACATCAGTTAGTCCAATCAGTCCTTTTATTTTTAGGTTATTGTCAAATGCTTTTCCATAATTTGCACTTTTCCATGAGCTATAAATATCAACAATCTGAAACCATTAAATAGAATAAAATAAATCAAACACTGAACGTGAACAATTTTCTACATGCGTCTTTCCACTTATCGCAACTTTTTTTTCGAAAGCCGCTATTCTTATTACAATAGTAATAGTTAATTAGGTAAAGAGTTAGCACTAAGTAGTTCTTCGTCAGAACGAACAAACTGATCTTGTGCTAAGGGCGAAAATCAATGTGCTTACCCTGAGATTTGGTAACAATTCTCGTACAAGTTGAATAGTTTCTGGACGCTCAATCCATACTCTGGAATAATCCAAATGTGGAATTTCCCTTGCTAGAAGTCGATAGAATCGGTTATAAATCTTTGATAAAATAATTACAATTGTACTTACTTATGTAAAGATATTTGACTTTTTTCAATCTTATATCAATCAAATTGGCAAATCATTTTGAACAAACTAAAGAAACAAAAAACCAATGGAAATTTAGTATTTATTATCAACAGTTGAACTTTTAAGCTTTTACCTTCAGACAATTGAATCAACTCTTCTAATTTGAAGAAGTTGTTGAAGATCAACCAGAGACAATCATCAGGTAAATCGTTTTTAGACATAATCGTAGACTACGATTCGTAGTTCACTTAAAAATTGAGTAAAAATCACCAAATTTCTGTCATGAAATTAAAAATTAAAAATTAATATGATTAGATAATTCCTATTGGGAATAAGCTGTTGGTCAAAAAAACCGTTAATTTGAATTTTATCACTCGGCTTGTGGCTCCTGAAGGGAAAGTGAAAGGGTTTAAATTAATCAACCGCTTCTTTTGAATAGTTTGATTGTAAAGGGATCTTTCGACCTGAGCAGTTGAGAAAAATTCGCTTTAGAGGTGAATCTTATCATTATGGAACAATTTTTATGTATTTATTGTTTTCAACATGAGCCTGTTGATAACTTTGAACATTTAAAAATTAAGAAGATCCGATAGATACTTTAATACAATTTACAATTTATTTCTACTTCGCCTTGTGGGTAAGGCATAAGATACAATTTTCAATTTTCAGCTGATTTTTTTCTCGGCTTGAGGTTTGGCTTGATTGTCTCAGGCCCTCCGGGCCTTTCTTTGGTCATGGTGACCCTTATTAGCAAAGACCTAACCTAACCTAATTTAATCAAACACAATTAACTAAACAATTAAGTCCATTTTCATACGTAGCTTGGACTTTAAGCCGAAAAAAACCGCTCAAAATGAAGATATCGAGCTGACGGACTTATCTAATGCCTTACCACCTTGTGATAGTGACGAGATAGACGATAATCAAGTGAAACGAATAGTTAAACAATGACTTATTAAGGAACAGTTTGCTTCCAGGGAATGTGACAGAGAAACAACAGTTCGATTGATTATAATTTCATACTCGACGATCAAAGTGTCGAAAAATTTTCTTCCCATATTTTGCGACTCATTACTTCGTGGAAACGACACATCATTCAAAAGAAGCGCTTGGTTTGTTTTAAACGCTTTCAGCTGTTGATTGTTTTGTCAATTTCAAAGCTTTTACCCAAACAATCAGACTAATTGAATTAGTTAATTTCCAATGAATTATTATCATGTTATTGAACGATTTACCGGATGATTGCCTTTGGTTGATCTTCGACAACTTCTCGGGTTTAGAAGATTTGATTAGATTGTCTCAAGGTAAGAGTATAAAAGTTTTAACTTTGATAGAAATTAATTTGATTCTTTTTGTTTCTGAAGTTTGTTCGAAATGGTCCAACTTAGTTTCAATAAGATTCAAAAGAGTCAAATATCTCGTCACCAGTAAGTAAATCTCCACATAATTAGTTCTGATTACATTTTAACATTATAATCGTTTTCAAGGTGAGCCTATTGATCACATCAACAATTCCAAAATATGGACGAGGGATCCAATAGATACTCTAAAACATCACAATTTAC